GGGGGGGCAGGCTGGGGGGAAGCTTCTCACCGGATGTAACACCACAGGGTATTACATGCCTTATGTGCTACACACGAACACCCCAGGGCTCATGTCCACCGGGTCTTACTCCCCGCTTTCTGCCCCCGTCTCTGTCCCTATCCTCACACATATACCCAGATATCTCCATAACCCTCCCCCAGATTTGTCCCTCACCTTCACACACATTTGCCCTAAACCCTGCACCCTAGGAATCCAGGGTTTCCCCAGCTGCAGGCCCCTCCCTCCCTCTCACCCGCCCGCCCGCCATCCAATCCACCCCACGGTCCTCCAGGGACCGTGTTGCCTAGCAACGGTATCTAAGACCCGCCAAGACCTGGAGAGACCCACCTCCTGGAGGCCCTGTCGTCAGGACAACAGGCAGGGGATGGGGCGTGGCCTGGGGTCCACCAGACTCCCGAACGGCGCAGAAGGGACCCGCTAGCCCCGCCTGGCCGGCCCTGGGCCCCGCCCCCCCACTAGCCAGGCCGCGAGGAGGGCAGGCTGAAGAGGTGAGCGTGCGCAGCGCATCCTGGAAACGGCCTTCCTCGCTCCCGCCGGCCCCCCACCCTAGGCGGTGGTGACCGACGTCAGGAAGGGGGCGTGGTGAAAGGCATCCGGGTCCTCGCCTGCTCCTCCACTCCCTCCCGCTACTCCATTCAGGAAAGGGTTAAAGAGGGGCGTGCCCAGGCCCCTGACGTCAGTCGCGTCTGGTCTCTAGACTCCCCGGCGGGCCCGCTTTAGGCCAGTCCTAGGGGCTTCCCCAGTTGCCAAGGCAACCGAAGCCACGTCTCTATGGCAATGGAGGGGAGGCAGCCAAGAACCTCCTTCCGGGGTCTCCAACCTATTTCCTCCTTAAACAGATACCTATTTGGAGGCGACCGAACGCGAAGATCCGCCCGGTCTCCTTCCCGCTCTCTCCCTGCAAAGGGTTCCCTCTTCTCTCCTACTGCTATTTCTCAATCCTACAAACTACCGACCATTTTCAAGCTCCATTAACACCATCCTCCAACCCTTCAAATCTCAGTAAACGCTGTTGTCCAGTCAATAGCCACCGACTGCCAAAATCATACCCCATCGTCAATCCCATCCCCATCCTAGACCCCACTTCCCACATTCAAATCTCTACCCCTATCCTACACCCTCCATCCCACCCTTCAATTTCCATCTCCCAACCTCAACCTCCATTCTCCATCCGCTTCCCTGCCCCATCCCACCCTCCAGCCCCATCCCTAACTAATCTCCTGTCCTCGTCCTCCATCTTAATTTCTTTTTTCTTTTTTGGCGGCTGGCCTGTACAGGGATCTAAACCTGTGTCCTTGGTGTTACAAGGCTGCACTCTAACCAACTGAGCTAACCGGCCAGCCCATCCATCCCAATTTCTGATTCCCCAGAGAGATCATCACAATTCTCCATTATCGCATCTTCAGTCCCTCGAGATTCTATCCCCAAATCCCAGTCCTTCACTTCTCAACCCACTCCTCCCCTCCTCTGAAAATTGGGGCTTCTCCTGTCCCCCAGCTGAGCCCTCCTTGGCTTGCTGTGGCCTCCAGCGGTGCTCGCCCTCCACTTCCCTGTGCTTCCTGACCTCTGACCCCAGCCAGCACTGTACCTATACCACCCCTCAAGCCTCCCCTTCTCGTCTTCCCCCTTCCCAGAGACTTAATGGCCCCGCAGTGCAAAAAGCAGCTCTAGTCTTCCTTCCCTCACTCCCTGCAGCCACAGAGCTTCACACAAATACTCTACACCATCCCCATCTCCAGGACCTTACTTTCCATCCTCCACAGTCTTACTCCTGTCTGTCCCCTGCCCAGGACCTGTTACCCTTCCTACTCCCCTCCAACTCCTCTCCTGCCACTTCTCACCCCAGACCTTTTGCTGCCCCCTCCCCGCCTCACCCCAGGCTCAGAAACCTCCTCTCCATCTTCTTGGTAAAATGTCAGTGACCTTCTTCCCAAGGCATCCCACAACATCCTACAGTCCCCACCCTGACCCTACAGTGTCCCCCTCAATCTCACAGCTTGCCTGGTGCTCTTCATTCCTCCCCATGTGTCCCTAGAAGAGAAGACTTGAGGGGGAAGAAGATGGACAGTGGACTGGAGAATGGAAGGTCTCAGAAACAAGGCCTCCCCAGGGCTGGAAAAGGGAAAACACCATGAGCACAGAGAAGGAAGAGGAAGGGAAACAGGTGGTGGTGAATAATAATGGGGGGACAGAGGGACAGAAAGAATATATGGGTGGAGGTGAGAATCCTAGAGGATGAGAGGAGGCAAGGACAGAAGACAGAGATGAATAGGAAAGGGGGAAACTGCAAAAGGGGGAGCTGGCTGACCAGGGAGAGGACTGGTCAGGCCATACAGGCCTGAGCTGGGGATCAGGGAGAGGGAAAAGGAGAATGCGTGGGAGGAAGAGAGAGACAGCATCAAGATCCAGCCAGCCTGCCAGCAGGGAGGGACAGGCTGCAGAGGGGGAGGGAGCACAGGAGGAGGGCAAAGGCTGGGGCAGGGGACCGGGCAGAAAGGCCCCAAGATGTGATGCCTCAGGTCAGACAGATGGAAAGGGCTGGAGACTCAGGGACGGGGAGAGCCAGTCCCAGAGGCCGAGGTGGGGGAGGAGGCAAGGAAGGGACAAGAGCAAATGAGGGCAGCGGGCACTTGGAACACAAAACAGAAACAGAGGTTGGGGGTGTGAAGGAATGAAGAGGGCCGTGCGGGCCTGGGGGCCCTTCTAGGGGATGCACACATCTCAACACACATGCACGCGAGCGCAGACACAGATGTGTGCGTGCGTGCGCGCACACACACACACACATTCGGGCTTTGGGCTCTGCATCCACTCCCACTTGCCTGGTCTGTTTCTCCTCTGAGGGACCAAGGTGCTTCCAGCACCCAAACGCCCCCTCCCCAGGCCCCAAACCCCAGAACCCTCCCAGTCCCGGCTTTCCCCTCCACGGCTCTCTGGCTCTCACCCTACCGGCCCTTGGGGGTTGCTGCAGCTCCGAGGCTCCGAGGGCCGCACTGGGGAGGGGGCCACCAGGGTCTCCTACCTTGAGGGGGGAGAGGTGGGCGTGGCCCACGACCCCGTGGACAGCCTCGAGGTGGGACAAGTTCCTCTCCGCCACGTGCACCAGCTCGGGGGCGTTTACCTGGTTCGGGAGGTGGGCCGGGCTGTGCTCCAGAGGGGGCGTGTCTTCATCTTGGTAGCGGTATTTCTGGGGATGGGGACAGAGGCGTCACAGGGGCCAGCCCAGTGCCTCAGGCTCCAGGCTGCCCGTCCCGCTGCCGCCTCCTCTTCCCCCAGCCAGTGCAGTGTGGAAGGCCCTGGGGCCTGACCAGCTCCTCCCCTCCCTCTCCTCCAGCCCATTGGTTCCCCTCTCTCCACGCTCCCGACAGCCCCCTCTCCCGCCAGGGCCTCAGCACCTCTCACCTCTCCACAAGTCCCAGCCCCATCCCTCTCACATCCCAGGACCCTGGCCTTCTACCCAGCCTACCCCCTACTTTGGCATCTGTAGTCTTCACCCCTTCTCCAGGCCTTCATCCTCAAGTCTCTCTACCCTTTTGGAACTCCAGCCCAACACTTGTACCCCCATTCTCTACATCTCATTCCCATTTTCTTTACTTCTCTCATCATCTTAATCCCATTCCCCATGTTCTAGACTCCCCTCCCATACTCCACTTGCTGCTCCTTCTCTGCATTCTGTCCCACCCCCATCCCACATTCATTGCCTCAGTCTCCTCACAACAGCCTCTACCCCATGAGCCATTGGCTCTCCAGTACCTTGCCTGCCCGAGGCAGGGACCAAAGTTGGAGCCCTTCAACTTGGCATCAGCACCCCAGGCAGGACAAGGCTGATCCTGCCCAGCTCTTCCTTCACTGGACTCAATGGCTCCCGAGTAGTCAGCAAAGGGGCCCCAGGAGTCTAGCCCCACCCCTACAAAAGCCCACAGCCTGGCCAGCTAATCCGGATATACTAGAAGGCGATGGGGTGAGGGAGGAAGGAGGGGATGGAGGCAGTAGGGAGGCCCCTCAGCAGGGGGGCAGGAATGGGTGTCAGGCCAGGTTCCCTGACTGGGGAAGAAGGTAGCGAGCGTATAGAGCCTCAGAGTAAATTCCTGGTCTCCCTCTGGCCTTTTGGGGTGAAAGGCCCAACGTGACCCTGACTCCCTACCCAATTAACCAGCTGTCATCTCAAAGGCCTCCCATGCTAGCTTAGTGGGGAAACCAGTAAATGAGATTAACTGGGGGCCTGAGAGAGGAAAAGGGCAGATGGAGACAGCAGTGAAGGGCAGCAGCTCTGCCTGGGCCCTTCCACATCTGCCTCTGCCTCACGGGCTCCTCTCCTCAGGAGGTGGCTGGCCTTCACGGGAGCAGACCTTCCCAAACTCCAGGCCCAGGGGAGGAGGAGGGTACCACATGCAGGGCTCCCTCAGGGAGCAGGGAAGACAGAATACACTCCCTCGTACACACAGGTAAAAAGAGAAAGGGGAACTTCCCTCCCAAAAGTTTCTGAGAAGCTGAGAGTACCCCAACATTTGGACGGCAACAGCTGCAAGATCAAATGGGAGGAAGCTTATCAAGGTCGATGCCTGATACTAGAGTATGAGTCTGAAAATTATGAAGATGAATCCAGGCTGAGGATGTAACCCAACTTTGGGTGTAGACTAAGGGTTCAGTAAGAGAATGGCAAAAGGGAAATGGTCCTGTCAACATGAAGACCCTCAAACCAGGATACAGAGACAACTAGAATCAAGAAGCACCCTGATGCATTTAAAGAGCCTTAAAGACGGAAAATAGGGGATAATCAAGATGGAGTCTATTCTCTGGGCCACAACTTGGAGAGAGAATCCTGAACTCCAGGTTGCAATACCACGGGCACAAAAAGCAGAAAAGAAGGAAAGCAGGGGGGGTAGAGGCAAAATGGCCCTCTGTAAAGGCTGAGCTGCCTTGGACAACAAAGTTCTATGAACTGAAAGAGACTGTTCATTCCACAATCCTGAGAAGATCGTCTTTGCCTGGACAGTGCACCAGCTGAGGGACAATGACCCAGAATTGGGGGCTCCAGGGGGAGAGAGAGGAAGCAGCTCTCCTCACTTTACATGGCCCCCAATGCCCTGCACGGTAAATTAGAGAGGGCCAGAACATGTAGCTCCCAAGTTTTGGGGTCTGGGGGAGGATTGAGCCCAACGCCCCTCCATCTTCACCCCACCTCACAGAGAAAATTCCTGAATCTGATGAAGAAATGTCAGAGTGCACTCAAATAAAATGGAAACATGAAGAGGGACACTTGATTATTTATTCTAAAGGGGAAACGAAGGTAAACTTCATTCATGAGACCCCAAACACCTCTCTCTGCCCCGCCCCCATGGGGGGGAGTGTCTGGCACTGAGGAAAAGGCTCCTCCGGATTGGGAGACACCGTGAGGGAAATGGGGAACAAGGGACAGGTACCGAAATTCCCAGAATGTGACAGGAGGAGGTTAGGGCCTATGTTCTGTCACTGGAAATTTTCGACTGTACATGTAGCAAGGCGGGGGGGGGGGGGGGG